CTCCTTTGACTCGTCAGAGGACCGGATGCTGACGCCGGCAGACGTTCAGAGCTTCTCTAACGGAGTGGGCCGTCAGTGGAGACATGTAGGGCGGGCCCTGGGCAAGAACTGCCGCGCTCTGAAGGGCCCGGCCATAGACAACCTGGCCTACGAGTACGAGAGAGAAGGGCTGTACGAGCAAGCCTATCAGCTGCTCAGCCGCTTCATCCAGGCGGAGGGGAGGGCAGCCAAGCTGAGCCGACTGGTCAGAGCTCTGGAGGACAGCAAACTCACCAGCCTGGCTGAAAACATTCTGGACGTGCAGCCCCGAGAGTAACTCTGAGCACGAGTCGTGAAAACTGAAAGGACGGGTCGTCTGAGTGTGGGGGGAGGGGGAGGGGGGTCCTGCAGGCCTTACAATCCAAGTGATTATTCCTGTTTGATGTCTGTGTTCTTCAGTGTGTGTGTGTGTGTGTGTGTGTGTGTGTGTGTGTGTGTGTGTGTGTGTGTGTGTGTGTGTAGCAGACTCAGCCTGACCTGATACGTGCACGGATTGTATCTTGCATATCAATGCAGCAGTTATANGAGAGCTGGATGATTCAAGTCAGGATTTATCAATCAGCTTTTTATTCTGTCATCACTGTTCTAAAAATGCTGTCAGGTGTTTAAAACACTGTACAAATTGTTTTTATCATGTGCCCTTTTATATTTCTGCTTTAAAAAAATTTATTTACAGATAAAACCTGTTGTTTCTGATGAAGGTTATCCCTTTTTTCCTATAAAATGGGTGTTTTGCRAATTAAATGAATGTGAAAAAAAGGCTTAATGTTTGTGTTTGATGCATTAGTGTAATTAAAACTGAAAACATAATATTGCCYAAATTCCCTCCGGTGTAATTTGGCGTTAATCCGCTCTCATCTCTGCCATCACTCGCCGTCGTACACGCATGTGCAGTTTAGTGTGACTGAACCGGTGATTGCCGGTGTCGTAGCTGTACGAGTCACCTTGTGGGTGCTTCAGGTCGAGGAGGAGGAGTTTCCGTCTCTGTGCGGTGGTCGCAGATGATGTTCGGTGTCTGCTAGTTTCATTCATAGTCCTCTCTGTGGGGGGGCGGCGCTAACCTCTTTGCAAGGGATCACGCAGAGAGGCCAAAGTGATTTTTTTAGGGTTCATATAGAAATACATAAAAGCACTTTGGATTTGAAAATTCAAGATGGCTGCCACAGCTAATACCAAATGGCTTTAATTCAACTGTTGTAAGAAATAATGAACTGAAATGCTAATGCTAAATTAAGCTAACCTCTAATGCTAAGTTTAYAAAGGGCTACAATTTAGCCATTTTTAAACATACACAGCTGAAAATGTATGTAGTACAGTAGTATTAGAAAAAAAACTTTAACAAACAATAAATGCAAATACAAAATCCAAGATCCCCACTTATCAATTATTTGGGGGTGGCCAGTCAGGTACTAGGGATGGCACTTGCCACCCGGGCCACCCCTCTGATTCCGCCCCTGCTCTCTACTCCCCTCCCTTCACACTCTTCTGGACCGTCCATCCAGATGTGATGGTGGATTAGTGGCACCAATTAGTTACATGATATGATACGCACTTATTTTCACTTTATATCTGCTTTACAGCTGGAAGTCAAATAGATTTATTTGTTTTCTGGGTCTGTTGTGCAGTAATCTACCTGTTTATTTTTCCAAGGCTGATTTTGACAATATTTTGCATTTCTTGTAAAAATGCAGTCGGAAATATTGTTCCTGAAAGCTGCTGAAGAAGCTGAAAACTGTTAATGTGAGTTAAATGTGAACAGCTTACTTTTGCTGAAAGCAGGAAAACAAAACTAGAACAAAAAGCTGTACAAAAAGAAGAGGAATAAGCAAAACATTTCATTTAGAAGCAAGACAAATTAGCAAAACGAAGCTGGCAAAAGCTTAAATGTTTGTTAAATTAACCAAAGTATAGCTGAAATGAGCAGAAAGATAATTAAAAAGGCAGAAAAAGCTTATATAAGCAGAAATATAGCTAAAAAGTAGTTTAAAAAGCTCAAAGGCACAAACAAGGAAGCATGCAGTTTGCTGAATAAACATAAACAAAAGGTTTTTTAAGGATGTTGAAGATAACTCCATTAATTTTCAATGAGTAAAAATCTAAATAGCTTTAAAACCGTATGAAATACCAAAATTCACAGCATAAATGAGCTGAAGGTTTTGATTTGAGTTGTTGAAATAACAGAAAAGCTGTGGAACGAGTAAGATGCCAAAAATGTATGGAATAAAAATTGTTCATCTCAATAGAGCTTTAACAGCTTAATATCCTTATGTCCTGTTTTAAGCAGGTTTGTTTGTATGATAAGTGAACAAGGTGCATTTAAATGAGATTATAGATGAAAATAAGTTTTACGATTTAGATTTCAGCAGAGGTATTCTGTCAAGAAGTGTGGTGATGTGAAAAATATATTTTTATTCCTATTTTTTATGATTATTTTTATCTTGGTGGATTAAATCAGCTTATTTAGAAAGGTTAATATATTTCAGGGGTATAAATGAACTGTGCTCCAGCAGAAGCAATGCATCTTTTATTTTTTTWAATATCAATAATGGCAACCAATTAATTTATATAATAATGATGATGTTATATAATAATATTTTATCTGCCTCTGACCATGTTTCTGCAGCTTTACCTTTAAGGCTTTAAGTATCTTTTGTACTTTAGTTGAATGTTTTTGATTAGAAGTTGCATAAGTTGCCTTAACGTGGAACTAATTTAAAGTTATTCACTTGAGCAGCTTTTTGTTTTTAATGAATTATTAAATAATACGTTGTGTGTTTAGGGTCAAACTATAAAATAAGTGAATAGAGCTTTTAATGATCTTCTTTGTCGTCCCGTCCTGGTTACCTGGTTATCCTGCTCACCTTCATTTTTTCAGACCTACTTAAGTTTCTGACGTCACCCAGGTCCCGAGGATAACTAGGAGAGGGACAGTGGACATCATAGATATGAATACGTAGAATCCACGTTGACTGTGTCAGTCCGCTGCTGTGACGAGGCTGTGCGTCCGCCATATTGGAAGTGGCACGGCTGCGCTGTGAACTACTACAAATGAATGGACTTTGTTTCATAAAGCACATTTTAACAGAGAAAAACAATGCATTAAACTTCTTACAGGACTACATAATACAACTTGATTGATCCCACAAACAATTAATATATGTTTCATAAGCTGTAAAAGTAAAGTAGTATAAAAATCAATATATGYTACACTTTGTATTATTATATGAATTGTAATGAATGAATTTAGGAAACCTATACAGAATTAAAAAAAAAGCCTAAAAACACAGCAACAACAGTCTAACAAAACGTTTGACTGAACTAATTTATTTATTCGTTATTTTATCTTCTGAATAAGGGATACAGTTGGTAATAAGAACTTTCTAACAATCTTGAACTTTTGACAGTTTCATTCTGACCAGATATATTAACCCAGTTGTTAAATTATTAATACAATAACTTTATTATTATTATTATTATTATTATTATTATTATTATTATTATTATTATTATTATTATTATTATTATTATACTTTATTAACCCCCAAAGGAAATTGCATTTTCCAGTACAGCCATCCATTATTATGAGAATTCCTACAAAAATAAATCTTGTGTTTTCATTAAAATGAAGAATGTTGTGAAGTTTACTGTTTAAGTTCGCTCACATGTTATCTGTACGAGCAATACAGTGGCTGCTGTTTGATGAAGCTGCTCACAACAGACCTGATACAGGTCGTGACTCTGTTATGATAACATTATGACTTAATCCTCATATTACTATGACTTTTATTCTAGTAAAACTTTATTTATATATATTGTGCAGTCTAAAGTAAATGCCATATGAATTGTGAGCAGRAAAAACCAGTATTTTTGTTGACAAGTTTACWCTCCCAAAACAATGTTAAAATGGTGAAAATCGTGCAGAATATGGCTTAAATACAATCTATAGTACGCATAAGTAAGTAGAATGTGAAAGGTAATTCCGTCTTATTTTGTTTGGACATCTGAAGTGTTAGAATATTTCCAAGCCGCACAACTACGAGGCATTTTGCTTTCTCCTCTCTGCCCCCTCCAATATGGCGGCGACATGGTCATGCCGTTCAGCTTCCAATAGGGCATCTATGGATGTCTATGGTGGACATGCTGGAACATTTTATTGACGTTACAAGACACTTATTTTTTTAACCAATAACCAGGGACAATAGGGCAACACTGACCATTTAAATACCTCTTTCACTGAAATAATCTGTCGTCGGATGCGATTAGARTGTGATAGCTCTGACGTAAACCAGATTGTTGAGCGAGTCTCGCGCGGCTAAGTGGTATGGCAAGCCGACTTATTACATAATAGTTTGGCTGTTTAAGGCAAAAATGTTCATGTTAAAATAAACATATAAATATAAGACCATATAGGCTTTTTTTTACCTTCTTTGAAATTGATTTTTTTTCCCCTCTGCTGACTGCCATAACGTTGGGAAATCTCTTCTTATAATGTTTGACATCATTATCATGTTAGGGAGTTCCCCTTTTAAAGACAGATAATAAAAATAAAACAATAAAAGATAATTTTCAAATGGCCCTCTTGTAAACAAAACCTATTTGCTTCGAATTTCAACAAACAACATATAGTTTTGAAGCTTTCGAGATGAAAATTTTAAAGAATTTTAAACTTAAAAAATGATTTTGACTAATCATTTTGTCAGATTTGATGTCAAAATAAACAATTATAAGTCTCACCAGTAAAAATGTATAAATTTGACTAGACTGCAGATGACTGTGTGATTTGATTATGTGGTACAACGGCCTGCCCAACCGTCCTGCCTCCCCTGAAAAGATAAATGAAATCGCTCGCGCTCACCGTCATCATCAGCGCCGCCCTGTAGAAAGATAGAGCTCGAGACTCCCCCTTCCCTCCCTCCCCACCTGACAACAACCCAGACCCCGCAGGCTCGAGCGCAACGACCCCACCCCCCCAACCCCTCCGGGAGAGGGTACGGCGCGCCAGAGAGAGACACATTCGCGGAGAAAAGACCGTTTCGGGCTCCCGGTTCTGTTTCCGCTCTCAATCCGGGGCCTAAATGCTGTAGCGGACGGCGCGTGGAGGAGAGAGCGCGACTCAGAGACGACGCAGCGAGCCGGAGAGGGACAGGGCGGACCGGGGGACACGACGGGACTGCTCACTCGCCTGGAAACATGGGGTGCACACTGAGCGCCGAGGAGCGCGCCGCTCTGGACCGGAGCAAGGCCATCGAGAAGAACCTGAAGGAGGACGGGCTGGTCGCCGCCAAGGACGTCAAGCTGCTCCTGCTCGGTAAGGAAGGAGAGAGACGAGCGGCCGCGGGGCTGCTCGGTGCGGGCGGGCGGAGGTTGGTGCTCTCCGTGGTACTGATTGATTTCTCCGCCGGCTCTCACTTCTTCTTCCTCCGTTCACAGGCGGCGGAGAGTCCGGGAAAAGCACCATCGTCAAACAGATGAAGTAAGCRCCACTTTATTTGTCCATTCACTTTATTTATTTTTACCTCTTAAGAACTCCGCGGGAGTGAAAGGCCTGAGATTGCGTCTCCCCCTGTCGGTACCACAGGCAGGTCTGAGCCGCCATGTTTCGCTGAGGCCGAAGCCCCGGAGGTGGAGCACCTCCCGCAGACCGGGCTGCGGAGGCCGCACCGGTGCTGTTCACTGCCGGGGGTGCTGAAATGTAGTTACCGAGGGGCTTTTACTAGACACCGTGTGTGTATGTGTGTGAATAACGGTGAGGTCACTCCTGCTCCATTAGTGAATACCTCTGCTTTTAATCTTAATGGCTTTAAGTGCCCGATATCGCCGGGAGTACTTTGCCTATAAAGCGGATTTACGCAGAAATATGCCTCCTAAAACCGCATCTAAACCTTTCCCTGTCTAAGCTAAATGACTCTTTGATGTTTTAAACGACTGCTGTTGTTTCTCATAAACCTCTTAGTCTGGGTTTTCTAGATGTTTCAGCACGAAAAAAGTAATTTCCCCCTTTTTTTCTTTCTTTTTTAAAACAGATTTTTGTTCGGTCTAACACCTCTGCGTCTCCTCCCAGTTTCCTCCCCTGTTCCACTCACCTCATTACCCTCCCAGTGCTCCCTTGTGGCTCTTAACTTACTGCTCTGGCCCCTAAAACCCAAGATGCTGGTGCAGATAGTGTTTACAAATACTCTCAGGGCTCGCCTGTAGACCAGGCAGGCAGCAGATGGATGGGTTTTACTGCACACTTTTGAGTCATAAAGCTCAGGTGTTGGAGTCCTACCTGCGCTGACAAGGAAGCAAACACACATTTGAATACCTAAAAATAACCAGAAATTGTAATGAGCTGAAATGATTCATGTTGATAAGGTCTGTTTTTATGCTTAAGGGTCTCAATATGACTTCAAAACTGAAACTTTAGTTTTTATCTGTTAAATTTACCTTTTAAAAAACTGAAATTCAGATTTTATACAAGCTGAACATATTCTGTGGATTATTGCTGATAATGATTATGAAGAAGTTATCATTTCTCGTTAATATTTGGAGGATATGATTAAAAATACCAACAATAAAAGTGAAAAATCACTTGATTCACATGATTTTTTAAAATAAGAAGTTTAAATTAAATGTGATATTTTTCAGTTTTAATTGATTTTCGGTTCAAGTACATCAACAAACATGCAAAATTTTACCTTTTTTTAAATATAGACAAGCACTAATTCATAAACAAAGCTCATTCAACCCCGTGCAGGCTCTTTTTTTTATTTGATCAAACTGTTAATTCTGATGATGGAGCTGCAGATTCAGGCCAGGTGGCTGATCATAATGTGCGCTGATGAGATGAAAGCATGAAAACAATCATCCCTTATCTGTTTCCTTCCCCGTGCATCCTGCTCTGAGAGTCAGCTTCAGGAGGATTTTGTTCTCGATGCAGTCGAGGGGTGGGGTGGGGGTTCATCGTGTCCAGTCTGGCGGAAGCAGCGATTGATCGGTGGTCTGATTGATTTGCTCGTAAATGATTTAAATATCACATTACCGCCCAGTTACACACCGCAGATTGAAATCCAAGCACACTCTTAGGAGAGGACGGAGCAGCAAACACAATGAAATAACCACTGCGCGCACATTTTTATCCAAAAACTTGGAAGCTTTTATTGTAACAAGATATTTGTTATGAAATGCAGGAACATATGGACATGTGAGACTTTTAGTCCCAGGCTTGTGCCTCTTTGCTAATGTCTTTGTACGCATGCAGGATTATCCATGAAGATGGCTTTTCTGGGGATGATGTGAAGCAGTATAAGCCTGTGGTCTACAGCAACACCATCCAGAGCTTGGCGGCCATCCTTCGAGCCATGGATTCACTCGGCATCGAGTTTGGAGACAAGGATCGAAAAGTTCGTCTCACTCCCCCCCCCACCTCATAAAGACGTCTCGTTTTAACTCTGCACTCACTTAGACGTTTTAATGTGACGTCTGATGATAAATAATACACGGCACTGTTTTGTTTTTTCATTCAGGCCGACGCTAAGCTGGTTTGTGATGTCGTCAGTCGTATGGAGGACACGGAACCGTACTCGGCAGAGCTTCTCGCCGCCATGAAGCGTTTATGGGCCGACGCCGGGACTCAAGAGTGCTTCAACCGGGCTCGGGAATATCAGCTTAACGACTCTGCTCAATAGTGAGTACAAGAAGGCAGAGGAGTCTTTTTTTGGTCGTTGTTTGTTTAAAAGGAGCACCGTTCCTCTGATCCTRAATGTGTTTTTGATTTCCCAACAGCTACCTGGACAGCCTAGACCGGATCGGAGCAGCAGACTACCAGCCCACAGAGCAGGACATCCTGAGGACTCGAGTGAAGACCACAGGCATCGTCGAAACCCACTTCACCTTCAAAAACCTCCATTTCCGGTGAGCAAGTCGCGTCGGGACGGGTATCTCAGCTGCTTTGTCCTGACATCTAACGCAGCGGCTTCTCTTCTCCAGGCTGTTTGACGTCGGAGGTCAAAGGTCAGAGAGGAAAAAGTGGATCCACTGCTTCGAGGACGTGACGGCCATCATCTTCTGCGTCGCTCTGAGTGGTTACGACCAAGTGCTCCATGAAGACGAAACGACTGTAAGTGTTTGATATCTCAGGCTGAGTCAACTTTGTTTTGTTCAGATTGTCCAAAAACGATGGTAATATTTATACAATCATAAAGCTTTTCAGTTTAACTTAAAACAATGAATAATAATTGTTTTATATCAGCTAGGTGGCTGCTTCTGTCCCTCAGTTCTTGACATTTTTCCTCTAAGAAACCAAACTTTCTGTAAGCTTTCACTCATTTTCAAACACCTGCAGACTTTTAGAGGATTTTTAAAATTGTTTTGTTACATCACTTAACTGTGCCATTCAAGCATAAAAAGGCATCCAAACACACAATAACTTGGCAAATAATAGATTATAAACTGGGATYTTAGGCTTTTTGTTGCAGATAGTCTCAAATATACAATGTATTTTTACTTTAGACAAATAAATTGTAATTTTAGCATCATGAAGATGATTCCTGAAGAGCTATTATCTGAAAATATGTCCAGTAGATGATCAGCTGAAGGATGAAGCATCTCTCAGGTCTTTGTTAAGATTATTTTATCTTATTTTTTTTAGTTCTGGCACTTCTTTACCTTTCTCCTTTTAAGCAAACACTGAACACAAGCAGCCATGATGTRTGATGGGACAGAAAGAGAGGAAAAGCAGCCAGAAAAAAAAAAAAGCCAAAAGAGCTACTGATTAACACTACTTTACTTACCCAGTAATTACAAGAAGTTTTCGCTGTTTGGAAACAAAGTATAAGAAAGTTTGAGGTGATTCTTTCGGAAAATTCAGTAAATTAAAACCTTTGAAATACAAATTTTAGGTTGTTTGGAGTCCTTTCTGTGCTGACAAGGGAAACAAACACACGTGATGAATTTGAATGCCTAAAAATAACCAGAAATTAAAATGAGCTGAGATGATTTGTGTTGATGTGTTTTAATGCTGAAGTCTCAATATATGACGTAGAGCTGAAACTTTAGTTTTTAATCTGTTACATTTATAATTCAAGCCCTTTAAAAAACTGAAATTTAGATTTTATTCAAGTAGAAAACATGGATGAGCTGATGTTGATCACGAACTTCTCCTTAAAGTGCCTGTGACATCAAATATTTGTAATATGAATGCATATTTGGAAAGATAACGTAAATAACATATTGCAAATATTTTTCTCACACCGCTGAGATGAACAGTTGTTCATATTTTCATATTTGTGTTAACAGGAGGTGATGTCGAAGGGGAATGTCTGAATATTAACAGAGCATTGCTAAAATGGCTAACACACTGACTAGAGAAGAACCGGATGTTCCTTTAGATTATTTTGAGTCACTAAAGAGAAACAAAGAGTCAGTTCTGATATCATTGTGTCAATAAACAAATGGGAGCTTTCTTTCTTAGAGTTCCCCTTTGATGTCACTTCCTGTTTCACTTTGGCTGAGCCAAATTCAAAGAAAATGTCAGTTATGTGACAAAATTGGTCAAATTATGCCAAGTTTCTTATAAATAAAAATGTTTTCTTTGACTTTTTGTATTTGAAGGAAATGTATGTCACAGGCACTTAAATATTTGGTTTTGATTTTAAAAAAATACCAACAATGGAAGTGAAATATCACAATTGATCTTCAGTTTAATTACAACCATCATTAAATATTTACATCTTTTTATAGATAAGCACTTATTTATAACCATAAATACTCATTTTTGGGTTCATTTAAGTAATAATTTAAGGCATATTTCTTCCTCCTGCAGAACCGCATGCATGAATCGCTCATGCTCTTCGACTCCATCTGCAACAACAAGTTCTTCATCGACACCTCCATCATCCTCTTCCTCAACAAGAAAGATCTGTTCGCTGAAAAGATCAAGAAGTCGCCGCTGACGATCTGTTTTCCAGAATACACAGGTGAGTCGTGGAGCCGTCAGTCGTACCTGAGCGRAGCCGACCGGCCGCCTCACCGTCTCCCCCTCCGTCTGTCTCCAGGTGCTAACACTTACGAAGACGCTACGGCTTACATTCAGGTTCAGTTCGAGAGCAAGAACCGCTCTCCCAACAAGGAGATCTACTGTCACCTGACCTGTGCCACAGACACAGGAAATATCCAGGTAGTGTTTGATGCCGTCACTGACATCATTATTGCAAACAACCTTAGAGGGTGTGGCTTATACTGAGGCCCGCCCCCAGAAGCACAGAGTTGTCGTGGAGTGTGTGAGGTGTTAATAATGAGAATTTTGAGGATGCTTAAACACGTAAAATATGTAATTCTACACGTCAAAAAAAAAAAAAAAGGACCCAAAGAGCTGCCATCAGACACCACACCGGATCATTGCCATTTGTTTCCTCCCTTATTTTGATTTAAGGTACCACTCCCTCCCTCTCCCCCACTTCTCTGTTAAATATGTTTCTGAGCTGAATGTTTCGTCTTTCGACTGACATCAGAAGCACCAGGGGTTCGTTCAGACGCAGCTTTGTCCTGCAGAACTCTTCAGAACCCTAAAAAATGCAACAAAAGGTGTCTGATGCCGCTCTTAGACTCAGAGTAGGACACTGTGACCGACCTGTAGGCGTTTATACCCTGAATTCAGCCTCTGGTGCTCTGAAGAGCTGCTGCGTGCCAAGGTGGAGATGATGATGATGTCATGGAGGTGCTGAACTTGTGGCTGAAGGTCGTAGACAGAAAGAAGGAGGCTGTGTTAACTTTCCTCCAACCCTACATGTGACTGAGCAGCCTGCAGCTCCGTTCCACTGATTTTTTTTTATGTTCAAATAGAAAGAAAGGACTCCTCTGTTCAGAGCAGCACTCGCTTCCCGCAGTGTAAACAAACATTTAAAGATAAAAGGATAAATCAACACGCCCGTGCCAACCATTCAAGGATAAATTTGTGAATAGAATAAAAAAAATAATCAATTATATTATTTAAATTAACTATATAAGGT